CTCATCCTCCTCCTCCTCCTCCTCCTCCTCCTCCTCCTCCTCCTCCTCCTCCTCGGGGGTCGAGAGGTCCGCGGGCCCGCGCGCCGAAGAAGGCGGAGCGCCGCTTTGATGGGCCTGCTGAGAAGTTCTCTGAGCTTTCCCCGTAGACATTGAACACCTCTCGGTAGGCGCGAGGGCTTCTGAGAAGCCCTGCCGCCCTTTGGGAGGGCCGTTTCCTTCCCACTTCCCCTGAGATCCGAAATTGAGAAAAAATGCAAGTTCGTGAAAAATCAAGACCAGAACCCTAGATCCAATCCTTTCTGCATCATGTTTCGAGACTGATCGATATGTGAGGGTCCCGGGCCCCGAAACTGGGCGCCAACGCCCGATGAAAAAGTTGCAACGCCGAGATCCCGGGGTCCCCCCATCTCTCGCCGCCGACGATAGCAAAAACGAGTGTTACACCGTCCTTCGCCCACTAACCTCGTCCAGCGAACGTCTCCTGACGGCCCCCCCCCCCGGGCCAAAACGCTCGCGGGCCTCTAGAGAGGCTGGGGTCGAGCAGAAGAAGCCGGCGGCGCTGGGGAACCACGGCGCCGCAGCTCGGAGCCTGCACCGCACGAGCCCCTCCCCTGGGACGCACAAAGACATACTGAGTGCTACGCCCCTGCGTAGAGTTTTTGTCCAACATTACGCTGAGAGAAGTGGCCTTCACTCCAAGCGTTCTCTTAAACAGCAGTCCAGGTCCAGAGATACGACAGTTATACGATAAAACAAGCTCCAAGAAGACGCCCGGGGCCCAGTCCAGTTGCTTGATTTTCTTCGGCGAAATCTGGAGTCCATGAAAGTTGGCGCGTTTTCTTAGCATGTCTTATGGGTGTAGTACGATGCGTCCTCCTTGGAGGCGTGCGTCCGACCCGAATATATACATATATATATATATATATATATATATATATATATACATGTAGGATAACCATCTTGTGGTAAAAATCGTTGCTCGAGCGGTACAGTCAGAGAGCGCCGGCCACGGAGCATATACTAGAAGATTTCTCGGCGCGCGCGTCGCCCCTGGGGGAGCGCTGGGGCGACGCCCCTACCCAGATCCCGACGATATGAGTTGTGCAAGACCGGCGTTCTTCCTCGAGTTCGGCTTCTCCGAAGCCGACGTCCAAGCGATAACGGGCCCCAGAGGTTTTGGGGCCCACGATAAGGCCCTGCGACCATCAAACACGGATCGTGGACGAAACAACGACACCAGAGAAGGGGTCAGGACCTCTGGGGCCGCGCAGAACAATCACATCGTCGCATGTCTGGGTCTCGAACTCGTATGCGGCCTCGCTCGCGCCCCCGTCCGGGGTGGACGGCGCTCTTGGGCAGTGGCTGAGGGCGGGCGAGCACGAGGGGCGATCTCATGCGGGCGAACACGGGAGGCGGGCTTGGGCCTTGGTTGCGGCAGGCAGGTTGCGGGCGGGAGGGCGGAATGGCTGCTCGAGCACGAGAAGCGATCTCGTGCGAGGGCCTTGCCAGGCAGGTTGCGGGCGGGAGGGCGGAATGGCTGCTCGAGCACGAGGACGATCTCGTGCGAGGGCCTTGCCAAGCAGGTTGCGGGCGGGAAGGCGGAATGGCTGCTCGAGCACGAGAGGCGATCTCGTGCGGGGGCCCAAAAGTTTACGATTCCGCACGATCCGCGCAAGTGCCACCGGAGCGTCACTCGAATCAGATGTTTGCCGAGAGCGGCCTTTGCAGGCACAGAAGCTGCGAGGTCGGCTGCGACCGCTGCCAACGGGCTGGCGATCACCACGACAGCCGTGTCAGCCGCCGATCTGGGCGCATGCTGCACCCATAGAGACAGCTGTTTACGCTTTGGCGACAACCCGGGTTATCCGGTGGGGCGGGGGGGGGCGTGCTGGCCGGTACTCCAAATGTTGCTCTCTGAGCAGCTCCACGTGTGCCCGCGCGCGCCACTACTGCGCACCCCCTGCGGCCCTGCGCAGCCGACAAGGTCAGTCTATCGGGGCGGGCGGGCGGGCTGGCCCGATAACCCGGGTGATCGCGGGACCCTTAAAAAAACAGCCTCGTAGCTTGCGCTACACAGAGCGCACGCGGGGGCGATAGAGCCATGGAGAACGGAGAAGCCAAACCCGCGCGAGAGGACTGCCTCGCGAAGGGTACTGCCTCCTCGCAAAACGGGCCGCCATCCGCCCCCACACGGGGAGACCACCCTCCTCACGTGCAAAGGAGGCCTCGGGGACACTCCTCGGCGAGCAGGGGCGACGACGACGGCCGCTCCCCAACGCCGCCCGTAGGATTGGGCCCGCGGCCAACCACACTCTGCCTCGGGGGCGCAGGGGCGGACGTGGCACCCCCCGCCCCCGAAGTTGGGGGGGACGTCAAGGTGGGGTGAGGCCACGGGTGGGGCTCAGAGGGAAATCGCTCTGGACAGTCCCTGGACAAGGGAAACATTAGCCTCAAGCTGAGTTCGCTCACTGGCCCCACCTTGGGCCAACCCCCCCTCTACGTACCCGCGACACAGAAGGCAGCACTTCACGGCACGGCTGGCACCGGCGACCCGTTCCACACGGGAAGGCGCGGGTCGCTCCAGAAACCCTCCATCAGCTACGTGCAGGAGTGACCCTGGGGCACGAGTGACCTTTGATACGCGGCGTGGGGGGGGGGGGGCGTTTGTGGGACAATCCCAGGCGCGCAAGACGCTGCCATCACATCGCGGTCAGCAATCGGAGGCTTGGGCCCGCACCAAAGGTCACTCCTGCGAAAGGTCACTCTTACGCGTAGCCGACTCCATCCAAATAAAGTGTGCACCTCATGGAGGGCCGATAACTACTTCCGCCGTCTTCCGCCAGCCTTCCGCTAGCCTCTGGCAGCGGAGCCGCGCCCGCTTGACCTCCGCCGGCTTCCGCCGGCCTCCCGCATGCCTCCGCCGAGGAGGAAACGGAAAGTCTCCTCGACACCTTGAAACCGATGCAGCTCTCTAGATCGCCCCGCAAGGAAGCTGGCTCCTCCAAGACACTGCCACAAATCTCCGCTCGGCCATGTTCTTTCGGGGCGCGGGGCATGACTGCTTGCCGCCACCCAGAAAGGCGGCACTGCAGCCGGCCCGACCCGACCCGTCCGCCCTGATCAAAGGTCCGCCCGCCCGCCCGAGCCGACACGCTGGACCGAGCGACCCGCGGGCCCTCCTGCGGCCCGAGCCAGCCCGAAACCCACTGCAGCCCCCCGGCACCTCCCAGACGCCTTCCTGGGCGGACTATAACCTGGCGCCGCCCGCGGCACGGACGCAGCGCCCCCCCCGCCCACCGCCCTTCCAGCACACATGCCACAGCAAAGCGGTCAGAGGCAGGCGCCTCGAAGCCGCCGCCGCCCGCTGCGGTCGCCCTCGTGGTCGACTTCGTCGCCGGCGTCCCCGTCGCCGCCGCCGCCGCCGCCGCCGTGGTCGCCGCCGTCGTCCCTGCCGTGTGGGTAGCGGTCGGGCACGGGGGCCCCCACCGCGGCGGCTCTGGCCACGGCGGCGGCGGCTACGGCCGCCCTCGTCTCGGAGCGGCGGGCCTCAGCAGCACGGTGCCGCGGGTCGCGAGGATCATGGCGGTGGTGCCGCCCACCCGCATGGCCTGCCGTCGGCCCGCAGGGCGCCGTCGCGGTCGTCGCGGTCGCCGGCGTCGCTGTGGCTGTCGTTGCCGTCGTCGCCCGCAGGGCCCTCTTGGCCCGCCCCCGCCCGCAGGGGCGCCCAGCCGCGCGGCCCCTGGCCTGCCCCTCGGCCCGAGGGCGGCGTCGGGAGGCTTAGGACGACTCCGGCGGCGTGCCTGAGGCTTTGGAAGCACTCGGGGGTTCTCTGGAGAAGGACGAGGGGGCGAGGAGGATGGGGAGGAGGAAAAGCAGCAGCGGCAGGAAGGAGGAGGAGGAACAGGAGGAGGAGGAGGACGAGGAGGAGGAGGAGGAGGAGGACGAGCAAAGAGGAGGGGGAGGGATTGGACTGGACACGTCGGCAGTGCAAGCGGGGGAGGAGGAGGAGGAGGAGGAGGAGGAGGAGGAGGAGGAGGGAGGAGGAGCAGAGACAAAAGGGGAGGCAGGAGGCGGGGGGGCGGGGGGGGGGTTGGAGCGACGAGCGAGGGCGACCCAGGCAACGGGGGCGGGGGGGCGAGGAGCGAGGGCGACCCAGGCGAGGGCGAGAGGGGGCCAGGGGAAGGGAGGGCAGCGGGGGGCAAAAAAGAAGGCCCAGGACCGAGAAAGAAAAACGCCAGGGGGGTCCGCCGCAGTCTCGACCAGTCCACCACCTTCGCCCTCAGCCCCCTCGTCCTCGCGGCCCCTTCCCCGGCGGCGGTCGGTCTCCTCGCTGTACAGGTCGATGGCCTTGTTCCACTCCTTGGCGACGAGCGCCGCGGTAGCCTGATCGACGCGGCCGCGGGAAGCAAGAGGAGGGGGGGAGGAAGTGGAAGACGAAGAGACGGATAAGAGAGGGAGGAGGAGGAGGAGGAGGAGGAGGAGGAGGAAGAGGAAAAGGAAGAGGGGGAATGAGTAGGAGAAGGATGGGATGCAGGCGAAAAGGAGAAGAAGGAGGGGAAGAGGAAGACGGGAGCAGGAAGAGCAGGTGGAGGAGAAGGAAAAGGAGGACCAGAACAAACCAGAGATGCATCATAGATACTGGATTACACCCTCCCGTCCTGAGTCTCCTCCTCTTAAAAGTCCCGACAAGCCTTCCTTATCACTACCAGAATCGCCCCCTTGCAAGACCAAGACCCTGTGGGCCTGTCATGCAGGAAAGATCCAAAAATTGAAAACGAACTGCCGCGCATCCTTCTAGCTAAGAATAACGAATGCGAAGAGGCGTGCCCATACAGCTCAACGACGTTTCCAGCGACATCCCCACCTCTTACCTAGAACAAGACAAAGCACCGATGAATGCGTATATATACATATATATGCGTACATACATTGTATACAGATCTATATACGTAAAAATTCAAATGTACATGTGTATGCAACCCATCTCATGTGCGCAACTGTTGTGAAATTTAACATGTAGGGCCATGACATTCGGAAAGTCTCCAGCGAGACCCCATGTAAGGAATCGCCCTCAATCCGTACAGCGAACACTATGTTTAAGAATATGGTTTCTTTTCAGGACAGTCTCAAACGAAAGCCTCATGTTGGAAACCGTCCTCCATCCATGATGTTCCGCGCTGACATGATCCCCATTTTGAAATGAAAACAAAAAAGAACAGTCCTCTAGCCATTAAGCTGTTGCAGACGAATCAGACAAACGTGTGCGGCACTACTGCGAGAGCCCCATGTTCACAAGGAATCGCCTTCCGTCCTTGAAGTTGCTGCAACATGTCACGACGAATGTGCGCGGCGCTGAGGCGAGAGCCCCATTTTCACAAGGAATCGCCCTCCAGCCTTCGAACAGCTGCAAAGTGTCAAGACCAGCGCGCGCGGCGCGAAAGCCCCATTTCGAAACAAAGCCCACCCACCCTCCATCCTGCTGCAAGATTTCAAAACGAGGGCGCGCGGCGCTGAGACGAGCGACCCATGGTGAAAACGACCACCACCCCTCCTTGAAACTGTTGCAAACGTTTCAACGAAATTGTGCGGCGCTATGACGAGAACCCAAATTTTGAAAAAGATCCCATCCATCCATGACAAGAAAGCAAGCTTCAGGATCATGAACGGTGAGGAAGTATCATGCAAAAATCTCCCAGGGATGCGGCAGGGAGGACTTATCGATCAGGAAATCGGATGGAGGAGAGGACCACCTTAGAGATGCATGGATGGAAAGGAGGAGGAAGAAGAGGAGGAGGAGGAGGAGGAGGAGGAAGAGGAGGAGAAAAGGAAGAGGAGAAAAAAGGGGAGGAGGAGGAGGAGGAGGAGGAGGAGGAGGAGGAGAGGAGGAGGAAAGTAGGAAAAGGAGGAAGAGGAGGAGGAGGAGGAGGAGGAGGAGGGGGAGGAGGAGAGGAGGAGGAGGAGGAGGACGAGGAGGAGGAGGAGGAGGAGGAGAGGAGGAGGAGGAGGAGAGGAGGAGGAGGAAGAGGAGGAGGAGGAGGAGGAGGAGAAGGAGGAGGAGGAGGAGGAGGAGCAGGGCTCCTTTGCACCCCAGCAGCCTGGCGGCACGGCCGGAGTGGCCCACGCCTCGGCACGACATGCGAGGCCCGACCTCTCGTGCGGCAGAGCAGCCTCCCGACCCCCCGGGGGAGGAGGAAGAGGGGGGAGGGCGCAGCAGTGGCCCGCGGGGGGGGGGGAGATCCGAGAAGGCCAGAACACCACACGCGGCGCAGCCCACCGGGAGAGGGGGGCTCCTGTACACCGGGGGGGGGGCCCACCTCCCAGGCGGCGGCCAGCGGCGGAGCGTGCCCCCGGCAAAGACAACGAGGAGGGGCGGGGAGGGGAGGGCGGGGCTCGGGGGGGTGCAAATCATGACCGGCGGCATGTGCGCGGCCCAGCGGGGGGGCCAGGGATGCAATGAAATAAGAAGAGGCGCTATGAAATCTGGGGAAATATCATGGCCCCCGCCATGATATCCAACCCCCCCTAGTCATCACCCCCCTCTTTTCCGCCCCCGACTTCCAGCACATACAGATTTACCGCCGGGGAGGAAGTGGAGGGGGGCGCCGAAGACCAGCGTGCCATCTGTCTACTCTGGGTGCAACGACAGGGCTCCAACATAGGCAGATGTGCAGGTTCTGGTCTCGGTTTTTGGTACCCTCGGAGAGTTACGGGGTCATTGACGTTGGATTAGGAAGTAACTCTTGGGAGGCCTTCGTGGGAACGACTACGGACTATTAAGCCCAGCGCACGGGCCAATAAGACGGATCAAACCAGATCAAGCCCATGACTCAGCTGGATAGGCAGGATAGGAGCAGATTCAACAGAACCAGGCCAAAGTAGGGCAACTTTCAACGACCGATACGGTCTGAAACTTTTGCAGACTGGCGGGGCAGGAAGCGGGGAAAAGCTCAGGAGGTTGACGCCTGGGGGGCTGAGACGTGGATACCGTGTCGCGCCGCAGCGTGGTAAGCCGATCCGGCGGAGCGACACGCAAACCTAAAGATTCTGACCGTATATTTTGCTGCATCTTCAGGGCACCCGGTGGTATATCCCATCGCGTGGCTATTCGCGTCGAATCCGCGTCAATTCCACGTCGAATCCGCGAATCCACGTCGGATCCACGTCAAACCCGCGGCAGATACGAGAAGAGACCGCAATTCATTGGGGAGGGAATGGTCCCCGAACATGTCATGTAACGCATACCAGCGCCGATGCTGAACCTACAGCGAGGGCATTGGATAAAGAACCAGCGGATAAAGCACTCCACGGTCCAGAAGCCGGTGGGACTCCATCCGTGGAGTGGCCATGGATCTCACTGGGCACATTCCTCAACGCACGCCCCCACCGCAGGCCCCCCAGGACTTGCGACCGAGACTGAAGGCTTCGGTGGCCCCCTTTTGCGGGGGGGCGGCCCTTCGGAGATCTACATCTGCGGCGGCACTGGGCCCCCGACCGAGCCTCCCCCCCTCCCCCTGCGCGACCGCACCAGGAGCAGTCGCTCTGAACGAGGCCCCCCCCGAGGACGCTCCGCCGAGGCGCCCGGCGGCGGCTCGACGAGGCTCGAGGCACGGAGGCCCCTGGACCTCTCGGAGCATCGCTCAACCAATCCCTTTCCCCACTGGCGTAGAGGTTGATCCGCCTAGATGGGGATACAGGCTGTTCCCTTCGGGTTTCGGGGAGCCTGTCCCCAACAGGGGGGTGTGGGATGGCCGGGCCGAGAATGGCCGGGTGGGAATGGGGATAGGCTGAACCGAACTGACTCGCGAGGCACTTCCCCGTGGTCCAGCCTCTCGTCCTGGGCCGATGATCAGGCGACCACGTGTGAAACCCCGAACCCTGCAGGTAAGAGCAGCTGGCCAAGCGAAGAGACCAGGCACCTGGCGGCTCGATGAGGCTCGGGAGCGCGCAAACATGGATTGGCGATCCATGAATTTGGCGCGCCACCTAGCCAGAACGCGGCGTGTGTCGCCTCGCTCGGCGGCGGAAATCTGCGATTTCCCATGGAAACGGGACCCGTCGCTAATCCACGCCCCCTTGATCCATGTTTGCGATCGCCTGGGAGGTTCAAGGTGCAGTAGCCTTCAGACCACTCGAGCGGTCCAGCCTCTCGCCCGGTGCCGACTCCGGAGCGCCCCTGGAGCCCAGGCCCCAACCTGATGGGCCTCCTGTTTTCCACCACCACCACCACCACCATAAGTTGGAAGGGGGAGGAGGAGGAGGAGGAGGAGGAGGAGGAGGAGGAGGAGGAGGAGGAGGAGGAGGAGGAGGACAAGAAGACGAGGAGGAGGAGGAGGAGGAGGAGGAGGAGGAGGAGGAGGAGGAGGAGGAGGAGAGGGGGTTGGAGTTGGAGGAGGGGGAGGAGGAGGAGGAGGAGGAGGTAGAGGAGGAGGACGAGGAAGAGGAGGACGAGGAAGAGGAGGACGAGGAAGAGGAGGAGGAGGAGGAGGAGGAGGAGGACGAGGAGGAGGAGGAGCCCCTCCCCCTCCTCGTTGTAGCGGTGGCGGTGGACAACGAGCCCACCACAGCCTCCTCTCGCCGTGAACGAGCCGAACGGGAAGCGCCGTGCCCCTCGTGGAGCCTCGGAGGCCCTCGCAGGGGCCCCGCGCCGCCGCGCAAGAGCGCGGCGCGGGACGAGGAGCCGGCCCGAGGGGAGCCCGACGTCCAGGCCTTCGGGGGCCCAGGCCGCGACAGAAATCGCGACGTCGGGGGGAGGTCCAGAGAAGGGCCCCCCCGGGAGGCCGAAAAGACGCCGGGCAGGAATGCCATGACAGCACAAAAAACGCTGGACGGCTGCGCGGTGGGCCCGAGAAATCGGCCCCCCCGGGAGCACCTCTCGGGCCAGCGGGGGGGAGGGGCCGTGGCACCCCCCGAGAGACAGCACGGAGGAAACGCCAAAGAGAGCAGGCGTCATCGAACCTTCCCCTCGAGCCTCGGAGCTCCCCGGCCGTCTGCAGGCGTGCTTCGCCACGTGCAGCCTCCTCCTCGACACAGCCCTGCGCGACGATGGGTCTCGCCACACACCTTTGAGCTGGATGGGCGGCGCTTCCCCTTTGATGCGGGGCCATTACCACTTGCGCCACCACCCGCTCACGTTCACCCCACTGGTAAACACACGAAATAGGGAAAAACCAAACGAGTCAGGCGATGTGGAGCGAGTCAATCTCGCCCGCACGAATCTGATCGCCAGTCTTGAAAGGCTGGCGGAGCAGGTGCCAAGTCTTGTTGAGGCTGTAACGTGCAGGCGCGCGCGCGAGGTTCGCCAACACGCGCGCCGCGGGAGGAAGCCACGGGAGGTCCATTGCACTGCTCGGAGAGCTTAGCCGAGACTTTGCGACCTCCGAGCCCACACACAGCACACACCAAACACCAGGTGCCCTTTTGGAGCTGGAAAGGATGCACGAGGTGCCTGCGCCCATCTGCCGCGGCTACTCGCGCGTGCGCAGCATCAGCACGCAGGAGGGGGCGAGGGGTGATAACAGGCGGGGGCGGTTCAACCGCAAACCTGGGCTGACAGGAAGACTGACAAGGTCGCTTCTGTTCAGGCTTAACATGCTCACAGTCGAAATCTGCAAAACACGCCCCTACTTGAACAACCCATTTCGCGTAGTGCGCCAACACCTTGGCTCTGGCAGTGACCTGCTCGCGCAAACTCTGATCAATCTGAACACGGGAGGCAGACCACTGGGCCCAAGAGTCGGCTTCATCATTACCTGCCTTTTCAAACGCACTGCTGAGACCGAGCTGCACACGTGCCTGCGTGCAGTGTCCCTTCACTTTGACAAGACAGATCTGAGACAGACCACCCCAATCGTGGATTTTGGTCCACACTGCGCGCCACAGCTCGGACCAAGCACCTCGGGAGCTACAACACGCTCGCTTTTCACGCTTGTGCACGCCATCATGCACGAAGGCAGAGTCTGTGTACATTATGGTGCCTGGGGACGCGTGCTGCAGCCCTCGATAGAAAGCAAAGAGCTCAGCATAATCGATGTCCTGACACGACTCATGCAACGTGCCACACACAACAGAGAGCACGCGATGTGTGTCGGGACACAAGGCGACGGCAGCCCACCCCACCGCCTGCGCGTGGGGGGGGAGCTTCTGGTCGATCCACGACCCGTCGAGGAACACGTGTCCTGAGAGTGCCTCTGGCCCTCCTGCGAACCACCTATCTGGGACAGGACGGGTGACAGGGAGGGGAGCAAGCGGCAGCAGCAGCCTCTCAGCAAAGAGAAGGGGGAGAGGGTGAGCGGCAGCGCGCACGAGGGAAGCGAGAAAGGAGGGAATGCGAACTCCTTCCATGGTCTCCTCATGCAAGCCACATGCTGCATGCCTGTGCAGCAGGGTACCTGGAGCTGCTCCGCAACCTAAACAAAGATCATTGGTCGAGAGCCCAGCCTCCCATTGACGATGCTGTGGTCACTGACCTCCAGAAATCACACTCTTGAGATACCCGCGCTCAACGGGCAAGAGGGGGCGAAGGCTTCTGAGCGGAGTGAGGTCGCACCCATTTTGCAACTCGGGCACATCCAAACTATTGGCGATCTTACCCCAGAGCCAAAATTCGACCACCCTCTGAAGCCAGATCACAAAGGGCCTGGGGCCGACGTCCCTGACCGAGATACGCCCCAAGACCGAGTGAGTGAAAACAAAACCGTCGACCTGGAGCCCCAGACGGATGGCAGTGGCCGCACAGGCCGTGAAAGGACCCTTGATGCCAGCCCAGGGATTCCCATGGTCGGAGAAGCGATGGACAGCGTCTTTTATTCCTTGCTCAAGCAAGCGCACAGGAAGCATGCCATCCCAGACGGCCACCGCAAACACCTGCAGAGGCTCAATATTTAATTTGTATGCGGGGTCGCATCGGGGTGCTTCAGACATCATTAGAAGCAACGTGAGACTGCGACCCGACAGCTTGGCGACCTGCACGTGCGCCTGCATAGCTCTGGCGAGACGCAGCTCCGTGCAATTCGTGCCGTACACAGCGCCCCCATACTTGCAGGAGGCTAGGGGGGCAGCTTGCACCATGTTGTGCAGCCTGCGCTTTTTTACATGCGGCCCGAGCGAGACGATCTTGCGGGCCCGAGCGTGAGCTGGCGCCCTGCGAGCGGCACGCGTGGCACGAAAACGGCAGACTGCAGCGGCAAAATCGATACCTAAGTTGCGCTCTGTCTGAGCGCCCTGAACATTAAACCTGCGCAGTCTTCGGACTAGCTGAGCCCTGATGTGAGCCGACGACGCAACGACACGACTCTTACGACGGTGGACGACCAGGTGAACCTTCTCAAGCTCAGCATGCAACATGGCGGTGGCCCCTGCTAGGTCCTCCACCACGTCCTGCGCACGCCCAACCCTATGGGCTCCAAAATCGTCCACCACGACCCCCAGACTGACGTGCTGATAGGCCGCCGGGGCCAGCTCTCCGTCCCGGGTCGTTTCTTGGAGTGCCCCGGGGTCCAGAATGGGCCCGGGATTCAGAGAGGAGCGTGCACAAGTTGTCCGCCTAGATGGTTCTTCGCAGCGAGAGGATGTGATGTATGGAATCGAATCTACTCCTCGATCCTCGACATACTCCTCGTTCTTGGAGTGCCCCAGGGTCTAGAAGAGACCCGAGGTTCAGAGAAGCGTGCAAAAGTTGTCCGCCTAGATGTCCCTCCGCAGCGAGAGGATGTGATGTATGGAATCGAACCTAGTCCTCGATCCTCGATCGTTGTCAGGACACTGGAGCTCTCAGGGAGCCTGAAGAGAACGTACGCGCCCACACGCGTGCATGAATACGCCCCCCAGTTCGCGAGGCCGCCCTTATGTTACGAACGTTCCCGTAATACGTTCTCTCGAAATCCATATGAACTCAAGTATGCGCACGTCACGGCTTCAACCCTGACACGGTCTAGAGCTAACTGTGGCTCGGATCGACGGAAGGTATTCGAAGTTCTCCGAAGGTTCCCAAATGCCCCCATGCCCCCGAAGCAAAACACTGTTACCACCGTGCGCCCAAAACAATGGCTCAGTGCACTGCGGATGTGGAATATGTGTGGCGCAAGCTATGTGGTGTAAGCTATCTGCTGCAGTGTATGTGGTGGCGCTGAGTGTTGCAAGCTACGCGGTGCAAGCTATGTAGAGCAAGCTACGTGGCGTAAGCTATGTAGCGCCCACGAGGCGCCCGCCTTCGCCGCACCCATGAAATCTCTTAGCAAGATAGATGCAAGCGCTGCTTGGGGAAAGACTCTATCATCGAACCTCCTCCTCCTCATCATCATCATCACCATCATCATCATCATCATCATCATCATCCTCATCCTCATCCTCATCCTCATCCTCCTCATCATCATCATCATCATCATCATCAGCATCATCATCATCATCCTCATCCTCCTCATCCTCATCCTCATCCTCATCATCATCCTCATCCTCATCCTCATCCTCATCCTCATCCTCATCATCATCATCATCATCATCATCATCATCATCATCATCATCATCATCATCGTCGTCGTCGTCGTCGTCGTCGTCGTCGTCGTCGTCGTCGTCGTCGTCGTCCTCCTCCTCCTAGAGCGATCCTCATTAGCCAGCTACACGAGCGTGCGCGGCATGCCGATTGTGGCGCGCGGTGCGAGCAGCGGCCTGCAGGCTCTGGCTGCCCACCCGCGCCCCCCCAGAGCCGCGCTCCGCAGGTCTCTCCGGCGAAGGGTGCTTCTTACGTGGGGCCACGTCCCTCGCAGCTCTGGCTCTGCCGCCTCCTCTGCCTCCTCTGCCTCCTCCCTCCTCCTCCTCCTCCTCCTCCTCCTCCTCTTCCCCCTCCTCCTCCTCCTCCTCCTCCTTCTCCTCCTCCTCCTCCTCCTCCTCCTCCTCCTCCAGCTGGGTGATCGGGTCACAGCCGGGGCCACGGGCGGCCACGCGCAACGATTCGGAACGCTCTCGCCGAGGCGCAGCTGATGGAACGCAGCCGCGGGCAGGGCAGCAGCAAGGACCCCCCTTAGAGCCTCACAACAAGACTGAGGATGTCCAGCGACGGGCCACCCCAGTCACTCATGCTGGCATGTAGCCGATGAAAGACACCAGAGGTCTGGGCCCACCCATTGCTCGGATCTCGGCCTGGCCGGGCGCGCACACACACGTCCGGTGCGGAGCCGGGAGCCTCCTTCTCCTTCTCCTGCCGTATCTTGACCGCGGAGATCTTGCGCGCCTCGGACACGCCAGCCTTCCGGGGCACCGTTTCCACTCAGGAGGGGGAGGGGGAATGAGACGACGAGGACGACGAGGAAGACGGCGCGGGGATTGGAGGGGGGGCCCAAACTTTAACCCGCCACACTCTGTGAAATCGTCAACCTGGAGACCATCGTCAAAGCAACTCTTTCATATACTTTTCCATTGTTTGATTATCAATAATACATACGTGTGTGTGTGATGTTCCAGAGTTGCTATTTCCCCGTGTAATTCACCTGAAGCTACGCGCGCATATCCCCAGTGTCACGGTCAAGAGCTGTTTGGCAGAGCAGTGCGGGTCTGAGTCGCCGTGGCCACGTGCTCGGCGCAATGCCCACATCAGAGGAAAGCTCTCAGGATCAGAAGGTGTCGATATAAAAGCCTTCCCAGCAAGATTTTTGGACGATGTATATTCGATCCTTCGATCCACAAAACCTCGAATCGCGGCGAGGGGTTTGGGAACGTTGTCGGCCTCCAGGGTCCCTGGCCGGGTCCCGGTGCTCTTAGAAAATAGCTGGATTCTTGTATACAAAACAAGCAAAAACAAAACAAAAACAAAAAACGAAACAACAACTGGTCGGGCACACGCTACCATGAACTATGGATCCGTAGATCTGGCGTTAGGTCGGCCACGTCCTCCTCCTCCTCCTCCTCCTCCTCCTCCTCCTCCTCCTCCTCCTCCTCCTCCTCCTCCTCCTCCCCCAACTCCTCCCCTCCTCCTCCTCCTCCTCCTCCTCCTCCCTCCTCCTCCTCCTCCTCCTCCCTCCCTCCTCCTCCTCCCTCCTCCTCCTCCTCCTCCTCCTCCTCCTCCTCCTCCTCCTCCTCCTCCTCCTCCTCCTCCTCCTCCTCCTCCTCCTCCTGGGAGGGCCGCCGCGGCAGGGGCCACCCTCAGCTCCGGGCCCCACTGTGAAGAGCCACCCTGGGCCAAAAAGGAACTCCGGCGTGGTGCCTCGTACCGCTGGTCGAGCCTGGAGGCATCTCTCCAAAGCTCAGCATATCCAGGGACCCCTTTTCGGAGCCTTTGACCTCGAACGCCCCCCCCCCCAGACTGAGGGGGGCCCAGGGACACACAAAGAAATACACACAAATCTCAGGATCCCCCCTATATTCCCACGTTTTCTGGCCCCCCCCCCGCCACCACTTCCCATGGTTTCCCATATCTTCCTGCGGATCGACGAGTCATTGTGCCTGTGTTTTTCCATTCCTTACAGACATCCGGCGCTCCAACGTCTTCGGTGCGCAGTCCCTGGGGGTCTGGACGACGTCTCTAGTCGGGGAGACGTAAGACTCGGGTATGGGGGATTCGGGTTGGCCTGACGGGGCCATCATGAAAATGACGATGCCCAACCTGAAATTTAACGCGAGCTCCCGCTACAAACATCCCACGAAAACAGGAACCATCAACCTCCAGGACGCGCTCGTCAAAAAACTTCAGCAATCCCAAGTTCTGACTTACTCGAGCCCTACGTTTCCCCGCTTCTTCCCCTCCTGACAAACATCCGGCGCTCCAACTTCTTCGGTGCGCGGTCCCTTGGGGTCTGGACGACCTCTCGAGGACCAGCTTCTCGCCCTGGGGCCCGTTGAGAGCCCATGGAGTCCGACAGTGGC